ATGCTTTTATGGAGAAGAGAATAACAAGTGTTGCTGAGGATGTGGAGAAGCTGGAACTTTGATGCAGTGCTGGTGGGAATGTAAAATGGTACAGCTGCTGTGGAAAACAATTTGGCAGTTCCTCAAAAGGTTAAACATAGAGTTACCATATGACCCAACAATTTCACTCCTAGGTATATATACTCAAGAGAAATGAAAACCTGTCTACACAAAGACTTGTAGATAAATGTTCATAACAGCATTATCTGTAATAGTTAAAAAGTATAAACAACCCAAATGTCCAGTAACTGATGAGTGGATAGCTATAATGTGGTGTGTTCATACAGTGCAGTATTATTTGGAAATAAAAAGGAATGAACCACAATACGTGCTACAACCTGGTGAACACTGAAAACATTATGCAAATGAAAGAAGCCAATTACAAAAGACTACATGTTGTATGATCCCATTTATATGAAACATCTAGACTAGGCAGTCTGTAGATAGCAACAGAAAGTAAATTAGTGGTTTCTTAGGCTGGGGGGAGGATGGAGGGGGACTGCTAACTGGTATGTGGTTTCTTTTTGGGGTGGTAAAATGTTCTAAACTTAGAAGTGGTGGTGGCGGCACAACTCTGAATATACTAAAAAGCACTGAATAGTACACTTTAAATGGGTGGATTTTGTGGTATGTGAATTAGATCTCAGTACAGCTGTTATTAAAAGAATCAGGTGCATTGAAGTGTATGATTGTAGGACAAGTTGTGAATGTGAGTGCTGGGGTGCAGTAGCAGGGCTTCTCAAACTTTTATAGGGCGTATGGATTACCTGTCTATCTTATTTAGTGTAGAGTCTGATTCAGGAGGTCTGGGGTAGAGTCTGAGATTCTCTGTTTCTTAATAAGCTCTCAGGGTGCTGATGCTACTGGGCTATGGCCCATGCTTAGGAAGGCAGTAAAGGATGTTTGTTTCTTCAGTGAATGGGGTCAATCTGAAGAGCCTTCGAGCCAGGAGGATTTGGCCAGCATTTTGTAGGAAGGCATAATGTAGTTTGGTGGAAGGGAGGGCCTTAATGGACAAAGTAACCAGCCTGTGTAAAAACTCAGACCACAGAGTATCCAGTATTTGTGGGGTATAAGAGGCCTGTTGTTGGGTTACAGGGGTGGGTCCCTGAATCTTCTGCACCTGAGCATTTTCTGTTTTTATGAAATTTTCTCTAGCTCTCTGCCTGACATTTTTGATTTAACTTTTTCAAATCTGGACTTAGGTAGATTGGTACTACTAAGGGCCTTGTGAGCTTCTAGGAAGGGAGGGATTGGTTGGCAAGAAAACATTCTATGTGTGGGTCTTGGGAGTTGGATGTGAACCCATCAGTCAGTAACCATGCTTGGAGAGCCTCCTTAATTAGCTACCTGAGCTCTGGACAGGGCACAATCAGACTGACTTACTGCTTGGACCCAGATGAATAAACTCATTAATGAGGGAGCAAATAAAGATGTATTTCCAGATGGTACGGGTTAATTATAGCTATGGTTTACAGCTTTCCTTGTTTTTCCACTTGTGCTAGAAGACCAATATGGATGTAGTTTAAAGTATCATTTGGTTCAGGAGGCAAATACTAAAGCCAAATCATGTCTCTACTCTTTGCATTCATAGTACTTCATGAAGTGCTGAACAGTCCTCTAAGCCCAGGTCTAGTCTCTCCTTAGTGCTTGCCCTTCTGAGGTATTTTCCCTGAGGTTCTGAAAGCAGTAGTGTCCTGTGCTTCATCAGTATTCGGTTCCACAGCCTCTCCTGATACTTTATATAAAGTGCTTCCACTCTCCCAGGAGGAAAGGCAAGGAAATCACTTGGTCACCTTGAATGTTCTTACCCTCACAGCCCCACAATGAAGTCAGAAGTTTTATTCTCTATTTTCTAGACGGAGAGACTAAGGTATAGGTAGTAACATGCTTGACCACCATCATGGAGAGACACCCCATGGCTGGCCCAGTTCTTTGGATCTTCCTTAGTTTTCCCTTCAGTGGAGTCGTCTTGCTTCTTTGAAGATGTAGTTGTGTTGTTTCTTTTTGTTTTGACAAACATGATTTTCTGGGTGCCTCCTGGTGTCAAATGAATACTTCTTTCCCGGATACCTACTAAGTATTTTTCAAGTGTTTATTTACACTCCCATTTAAGCATCTCCAGGTGGGGTGCTGGTTTGTCAGCATACTTATTATCGTAGTGGAGAGAATTCTGTTCAATTCCTCTAGTACTCACTAAGTGCTTAGTATATGCTCAGCTCTGTTCTCTTCTCCTTGAAAGACAGAAAGCAGTGTATTCTCCTTGGCTCTGTGGGATCTTCCAGGTTTATGGGATGGAAGCAAGGTAGACATAAGCAGGCCAGGACTAGGGTGAAGCAAACAAGGCACTCACTTTCAAGGTCATGCGCATGGTTGGCCAGTACCTGACAATGAGTGCCTCCTTAAATTTTGAGCCCTAGGTCCCTTGGCTTACCCCCACCTTCCTTAGTCCTGGTCCTGGCCTTAAGAAACAGTTACGTCGGGGCACCTGAGTGGCTCACTCAGTCAAGCGTCTGCCTTAGGCTCAGGTCATGATCCCAGGGTCCTGGGATTGAGCCCCGCATCAGGCCTCCTGCTCAGTGGGGAGCTTGCTTCTTCCTTTCCCTCTGCCTGCCCCTCTCACTGCTTATACACACACACTCTCTCTGTGTCAAATAAATAAATAAAATCTTTAAAAAAAGCAGTTACATCACTTGGAAATCACATCTAAGATAAGACTATGAATGACTGGTATGGAACAGTGCTTCTCAGATTTAATGTGCATATGAATCATCCGGAGACCTTATTGAAAGGAGGATTCTGATTTAGTGGGTCTGGAGTGATGCCTGAGATTCTGCATTTCTAACAAGCACCCAGACAATGCTGATACTAGTCTTTGTGCCACACTTTGAGTAAGGAGAAAAATCCATGCTTGAGAAAAGTAGAGGGCCAAATTCACTAAGCTAGGGAATCAGGGCAGGCTTCTTGAGGCAAGGTGAAATTGCAGCTGGGCTCTCAAGGGACAAGTTGGATTTGGATGGGATAAAAGAGAGGGAAACATTGCAAGCAGAAGGAAGAATATGCAAAGGCCCAGAGATGGGAATGAGTCCCATGTGTTTTGAGACTACGAACAGACTTGCTTGGCAAGACAGGTCCCAGTTGGAAAAAAGGAAAAGAGTTTTGATAGGTAGCATGAAACCTGTATTGGATTGTTTATTTAGAAGTGTGGTCCAGGGCGCCTGGGTGGCTCCATCGGTTAACCGTCTGCTTTTGGCTCAGGTCATGATCTCAGGGTTCTGGGATCAAGCCCCACATCGGGGCGCCGTGCTCAGTGGGGAGTCTGCTTGTCTCCCTCTCTCTTTGCCTCTCCCCTGCTTGCATGCTCTTTCTTTCTCTCTCTCTCTCTCAAATAAATAAATCTTTAAAAAAAAAAAGAAAGAAAGAAATGTCCTTAATTGTCTGTCAAGGTACCACCCAAATGGGCATTTCCATTTCTTATATCCACTTGGCCTGGGATATTATGGGACCTCTGTTATTCTAGGGAAATGAAGACCTGAGTTAGGACACCTGAATACATTCTGTGAAGTAGGAAAAGGGAGGAGGTGGTTGACTTCATTACCCTGGCAAAGCCTTGAGATATATATATATTTTTTTAAACTTAGCTGGGACATGTACAAATCAGAAAGCCCTCCCTCAATAGTGATGGGGGTACACAGTACACACACATAAAGGATGCCTGGTAAATACGTGCTGATTTGACTCAGTAGGAGAGTTCTGCCCATTTTACTTCAAACATTTTGTGTAAAGTACTTTTCTGAAGTTATCATAGGAACAGTGAGAAATTGGGCCTTGAATCTCATAAGTACTAAAGGAATATTTGTTGATTGATTCCTTGGAGGCCTTGTCTCTCTCCTCTATATCAAGAAACATTTTCGGCTCAGGTCACTGTAAGAATGTATGAATGTGATGTTTTTAACTTATGTACTGACACTTGGTTATGCTTTTGTATGGCTGTAAGGAAGTAGAAGACTTGAGTCATGAACTCAAAGAGTTTAGTATTATTCTTGAGCAGTGATTTTCAGCTGGAGGCAATTTTCATCCCATGGGGGACATTTTACAATGTCTATAAACATTGTTGCTTCTGTGACATCTAGTGGGTAGAGGCCAGGGGTGCTGCTAAAACATCCTACAATGTACAGAGTGCTCCCCACCTCACCAAAGAATTATGCAGTCCCAAATATCCATAGTGCCAGGGTTCAGAAACCCTGCTCTAAAGGACAAGAACTAACAAATAGAACCAGAACTTTGAAGTTGGAAGGTCATACTGCTAGTTAATAGCAGAGCAGGGACTAAAGCTTAATTCTCCCTAGTCTAATGTGCTGCCTGCTGCCATGGGGCCATTTAGAGTCAGATGGCATATGACAGAATATTTTATCTAGCTTCATCTCCCACTAATCCTAATTCATACTTTTTGCCCTAGCCATACTCATTTATTTGTATGCTATGCAACTTTATTTCTTCATCTTTATGTTAGTTAGTCCCTTTGCCTGGAATGTATTTCTCTTATTTCTTCATCTGGATGATATTTCACGTCTTCTCCGGGAGGTCTTTGCCAGTCTATAACACTGCAAATTGGATCAGAAGCCATTTCTTTATTGTTCCATAGCTAGTCCTCAGCATATAATAAAGAAATTTTCTGTATATATGTGTGACTTCTTGACTAGGTTTAGGTTTACTCTCCTGTCCTCATTGCCTAGCGTAGACATGCAATATACTGTCAGTCATAGACATGAGATAAAGTAAGTGATTAGAGAAGGGAGAGATCAGTGGGAAGTAGAGTATTGGGGAAGGCTTCATAAAGATTGTGACACTTGAAGCTTCTCATAATTCCTTGAAGATAATGATGAATGTATGAGCACCTTATATTGGGCAGGCACAGTTCTAAGACAGTAATGGATTTTTTTGGTGTTGTTTTTCTATAGGTTGATATGTCAGACCTCTCCCCAGAGGAGCAGTGGAGGTAAGTGTGACAGTGTGGGCCCCTCAGGCTGGGAACTGTAAATTAATCCTACTAATAGAGTTGTATATCTACCCTTTTGCTTCCTTGTCTGTGGGGAAGCCATGACTCTTGACTAGTAGGAGAGGTCATTGACTAGAAGAAGAGGTGATCTTCTCCAGTACTTGGGTTACTCCTGGGTAGCTCCTTCAGTCCTGGGGAGTAAATAGGTAATTGCACCAAACTATTTATCTGGGTTTAAATACTACTAGTTCTGCCATTTCCTAGCTATGCTATCTTGGGCAAGTTACTTGATTTCTTACTACCTTAGTTTCCTCAGTTTGCACAATGAAGGTTGCAACAGTACCTACACCTCATAGAGTTGTTGTGAGGACTGTTAATATATGTGAAATTCTTAGAACAATGCCTGGCATGTGGTAAGCTTCCAGTAAGTGTTACCTGCTTTGCAGGTGACTATCATCATTAACATCGTAATTATCCACGAAACAGAGCAGAGAGATCTGGCTGAAAAATGGGAATAGTGTTTTCTGATCTCAACTCTGCTACTAACTTGCTTTGTAACTGGAGTGAGTCAGCAGTCAACAAATACCTTATTATCATGATTACTCATCAGAGAGCCTTCAGAGTGTTTGCCCCACAAGGGAGCTGACCAGTGAGCTGCTATCAACTATGTAAATTTGATTAATAGTACAAAAAAACCCTTTCATTTAGATTATTAAAATAGATAACAGCAAAGATACCAACTTACATGACAAACGCAACAAGATTTTAGAAAGCTTTAAACTTAATATGTACCAGTTGTGTACCTCAGCTACCAAAACATTCCAAAATTTGGAAGATGTTCATAGAAATATACTCTCTGCTTTAGGGGGGTGAAGTGCCACCGTGCTTCACTGAGTCCACACTAATTTTGTTGTAAACACTGCATATTAAGAAGATCTTCAGTTAGATAACATCTAGAAGAAGGCAACCAGGATTAATGGTTTTCACATTATGTTATATGAATAGCATTTAAAAGATCTAGAACTGTTAGCATAAAAGGGCATAGAAAAGTGGTGGTAGGAAGAGGATTGTTTTAGTTTGGGTTTTTTAAATAAGATCATATAAATCTTTGAAAGAGCAGCATTGGGAAAGAAGAGTGATTATGTCCTCTGTTGTTCGAGAGTATAAAATTAGGTCCAATGGATTGAAGCTATAGAAAGATGGATTTTGTCTCATCAGGGACATTTTTAATAATCGTGGTATATTGAGAGGTAGTGAGCTCCTGCCCTTAAAGTATTGGAGTTTTATTCCTTTATTAGCACATGTGGGTACCTACAATGTGCCAGACAGATGATCCTTGAATTACTTTAAGAGGCATATGTTCTCAGCCAGTGGAAGTATTCAAACAAAGATTGTAAAGATAATGTTTGCATTGGGTGGGAACCTGAACTAGAGTTATTGTCCTCTGGTCTTTTCTCCATATTTGGTATTTTTGTTGTGTACATCCATTTAGTCATATGCTGTCCAAGAATAAGAAATTTATCTGTTATCTTTATAACTCCCCACAGTCCTTAGGTTTTTAAAGTGTCCTTTGCCCTTTTAGTTTAGCTTATTCTCACAACAACCCTATGAGGGAAGCAGCAAAGATATGGACCCCTTGGATAGATGAAGAAATTGTGATGTAGAGATGTGAATTTTCTTGGCCAAGGCCACATGGATGTCTGAACCTAAGTTTCTGACTCCCACCCGTATTATTTTTTTGTCAGAATCTCCCACCCTGGATGAGTTGATGTAAGATGAACCCTGAGATGCTGTGGCTGCTGACATTTGGCTGCCCACTGCCCCTACCATGTCTCCTCCCTAACATTTTATTGTGAAAAATCTCAGAAAAGTTGAAAGATTATACAGTAAACACCTTTAGGCCCACCACCTAGATTCTGCAGTTAACTTTTCACTGTATTTGCTTTATCATTTGTTAGTCTGTAATTCATCCCATTGGGTTCTTCTTGAATAGTCTGTCATTGCCCTTGGGAACTCTATGAAGATACCATTTATGTTGTCCTTTCCCTGTCTCCCTAATAGCCCCAGGTATGGAGAATTGGCATAAAAGCTCCTGACTACAGGCGGTATTTGTATTTAGTTTTCTAACTCCTTCCTCATTTCTCTGTTGGCTGACTCTGACTCTATTCTTAAAGGAAGGTATTGGCCAAGAGAATCACTTGTTGCCAGTCCTCTGGACCAGAGAATGCCAGCCTTAGATTAAATAAGAGTTTCCAGTTGCACTCTTCCTTAAACTCTTGAGGAGGCTCTTTACCTGTGGATGCTGATGGTGAAGACACTGTTGGATTAGTATAAAGTTGAAGCAGTCCAGATTTTTCAGGCTTTAGCTAGTCTTAGACTAGGATCCCTGGTCCTGACAGAGGATAGGACAAATAAAGCAAGACTTTAACCCTGGAATTAGTACACATCTGCAATAGTACTTCTTTATTGGTGTCATAAATATCATTGACTAAGAGTATGAGATTTTATGGCTATATCCTTCTCTCTGGGTTACTTTCTCCTTCCAGTGACAGGTTGAAATAGGACTGAAATGGGCAGTGACAACAGGTTTCTCCTGGGTCCTCTTTCCTACAGGAAAGGTGTCAGCTGCTTTTGCTCTTGGGGGTGGGTAGCAAACAACCCACCTTTATTTCCAATAGCTGAGCTTCTGACTGAGACCCATAGAGCCCCTGTTCTATCCCAAAATGCCCGTTCTCTAGGGTGTGTGTTTTTCTAGCCCCTTATTAGTACCCTGCAGATGCAAAGCCCAAGAATGTGTTCTGGGCTATAGACTGGTGGAATATCCCTGGAAAGCACTGCCCTTTTACCAGCACACCTTCCCTGATCTGCCTCACCTCATCTGTTTGACTTTCAGGGTTGAGCACGCACGCATGCATGCCAAGCACCGCGGCCATGAAGCCATGCACGCTGAAATGGTCCTCATCCTCATCGCTACTTTGGTGGTGGCCCAGCTGCTCCTGGTGCAGTGGAAACAAAGGCACCCCCGCTCCTACAATGTAAGCCACTGCCTCTCACTTCTTTTTCTGACAGTTGTCAAAAGACCCTTCCTAAGTATTCTAGGGTCCAGCCTAACCCAGGCTGCATATAGGCAGGGAATAGACAATGATAGTAAACGTTATGTATGAATGGTGAATAGTGTATGGTGGGTATGCATTTAAGAGGCAAGTGATTCAGATGGTGAAAATAAGGTTAGAACTTGAGACTACTTTCATGGCCAGGTCTTCCCTTTTAAACATTTTGGGACAGATCCATGAAGGAGATACTCATCAGGAACTATTCAAGTAGAGGGAGAGGTGGTCGCCTTGTTGGGAAGACCAAGCCTCCTAAGTGAATTTTACAGGTAGGATTTAGATTAATTAAAAATAAAAAGGCAATGATAGAGGAAATGAGGAACAAAACATATAAAACATACAGAAAACATATAGCTGAATGGCAGAAGTAAATCTTTCCTTATTGGTAATTACTTTAAATGGGTTAAATTCTTCTATTAAAAGGAGAGATTGGCAGATTGGTTAAAAAAAAACAAACCATGAGAGACTCACTTTAGATACAAAGACAGAGAATAAAAGTAAAAGGATGGAGAAAGATATTCCATGTACATGATAATCAAAAGAGAGCTGGGCGGCTATTAAATATCAGACCAGTAGACTTTAAATCAAAAAAATTTACAAGAGACAAAGTACATTATATATTGATAAAAGGTTTAAACCAACAAGAAGATACTACAATTATAAACATAACTAACAAAGGAGCCCCAATATATGTGAAGCAAAAACTGACAGAATTGAAGAGGGATAGACAGTTCTACAATAGGTTGCAGAGTTCAGTACCTGACTTTCACTAACGAGTAGAGCAACCAGATAGAATATCAGTAGTTAATAGAGGACTTGAACAGCATTATAAACCAGTTAGACCTAACAGACACACAGGGCACACACTACCCAACAACAGCAGAATACATTCTCTTCTCAAGTGCACATGAACCGTTCTCCAGGAGAGAACATGTGTTAGGCCACAAAACAAGTCTCAATAAGTTGGAGAAGATTGAAATCATAGATTCAACCACTCTGGATTAGGACATGACAGGTGTAGTGTACTGGATTTTTTTTACGACTATTATCTTAGAAGTTTTTAAGCTTTACAAGGGTAACAACCATTTTTTAACATCAACTTGGCAAACACCTACCTGATAATACTTTGCATAGAATATACAAGTGCATATATAGTAGTAACAATAGCTAACATTTATTGAATTCTCACTATGCCAGCCACTGTTATAAGTACTTCACAAGTGTGGACTCAGCTAATCCTTGTAATAATCCAGTAAGATAATGTTTTCTCCAATTACAAATGAGGAACTGAGACAGAAAAGACTAAGTAATTTGCTCCATTGATAAAACCATTATTTGAACCCAGACAGTTTTATTCCAGGGTTTTTAATCTTAATCCCTGAATAGTTCTTTTTCTCTAGTATATGCTTTTTCAGACCTCTGGTGATATGGTCAGACATGCCCAGGGGTCTGTAGCCCACATGATGTGAACTGCTGGACTATCTCATTTAATCCTTCTGATAGCCCATGAGGTAAGTACCGTGAACAAACTGAGGCCCAGAGAGTTGAGGCATGAAGGGAATACTAATAGATAGAGCCAGAATTTGAACCCAGGTCTTCTGTTTCATACTTCATAATTTCTCTTGTACCATATGTTGCTCCTGGAAAGGGTTTTCCATCAAGGGAACAAGGGATAACCTAGAGCATAGAAGGAAGAGAGGATAATCTTTGCCCTTGAGCAGACACAAGTTCCAAACATTACTGGCTTATAGCCAGCTCAAGTGTTGGCATGCACCACAAATAGAGACATCTGTACCTTCAGGTCACATTGCACTGAAGGACCACATGACACCAAGACTTTTTGAACTGGAGAGCATCCAACAGGCTAAGCCATCTGAGATGGGGCTTCACGTCTGGACCCTGGTCATGCTTTGCCCTGTTATCTGAGATAAGTCACTTGTTTGTCAGTGTATGATTATAATGTGTACTCTATAGAATGGGGATTACCAAGATGGTTGAATTGAGCCAGAAAAATAAGACCACCCGTAAACCAAGTGTAGAATGAGAGCCCCATTGGCATTTCTGTGCTGGTATTTAGAGATAATCTTAATTATATAATGTTGGCTAATCTGCAGATTTTTAAAAACCTCTATAGGAAGTGAGGATTCATGTATGTACTGTAGTGGTTTTCAATAAGTACTTTTTAAAAAAACTGTGGAATCCTTTCTTCAAATAATATCTTCAGGAAAAACCCAGTATGGAAAATAATTAAGAGGCTGCTCTGATTGATAGAGGGTTGGATAACCCTGACCCCTCTGCTTCTCAGGAACATATATAGGAGTCATCAGTGTTAGAAAACCACTGATAATGTCATTCATTAGCTAATCCTTAATAGGAAATGTGACTGTAACTTAATGAAGCCAGTTATATAAGGAACATGCACAATTATCCCATTGCTTTACTGCCATGCCCTGTAAACATTATGCTAAACTTCACTGATGAGCGAACACTCTAACATTATAAAATATATTGCACTGAGAAACTTAAACCCCTATCTTTCAAAAATTGGAAAAGGAAATCTGTAATGTCCGCTTTATGCTGCTGTTATACAATAATGATCTAGATTGTTTTTTTAAAAAACTTTATTAACTTGTGTACAATGAATATTTTTACTGCTTTAATTAAAACACTAGCTTTGGAAGAAGAAAAATTGCCCAAGATGCTTGTACACAGTAACATCTCCTATCCTTTTTCAAGCTTATCAGAAGTTCGAGCTGTTTGCCTTGTAGGCAGTGTAATACAGTGGAGACAGCCCAATCTGATTTGCTCAGTCAGCTGTCTCACTTCCTAGCTATATGACTTTATATCTTGAGCCTGTTTTTCTTATCTCTAAGTTGGGGTGATATCTACCTCCTGGGTTGTGAAGATTATATAAGATTCTATGGCAAAGTGTTTTGTAAACTTTAAAACTAATAGTAGTGACTATTGCTTCCCCTCCTAAGAGAAAAAGTTCAAGGCGTAAAAGTTTTCAGATACTATGTGGAAGAAGAATAGAATTTTATTTTTATTGACAACAATTTCACATAAAAAAATTCACTGTTCTGTGGGGTGCCTGATAGGCACAGTTGGTTAAGGAGCCAACTCTTTCAGCTCAGGTCATGATCTTGGGGTCATGAGATCAAGCCCCACGTCGGACTCCATGCTCAGTACGGAGTCTGTTTTAGATTCTCTCTCCCTCTCCCTCTGCCCCTCCCGCTTGTGCTCTCTCTTTGTCTTCTCAAATAAATAAATCTTTTAAAAAAAAGAAAAACCCATGGGGCGCCTGGGTGGCTCAGTTGGTTAAGTGTCCGCCTTTGGCTCAGGTCATTATCTCAGGGTCCTGGGATAGAGCCCCGCATCGGGCTCCCTGCTCCGCAGGAAGCCTTCTTCTCCCTCTCCCACTCCCCCTGCTTGTGTTCCCTCTCTTGCTGTGTCTCTCTCTGTCAAATAAATAAATAAAATCTTTAAAAATTAAAAAAAAATTAAAAAAACTTTGAAAAAATTGATTATTCTAACCATTTTAAAGTATATAATTCAGTGGCATTTAGCACATCTGGTGTTGTGCAGGCATTGCCACTATTTAGTTCTAGAACACTTTCATTACCCCAAAAGGAAACCCCATATCCATTAAGCAGTCACTCCTCATTTCCCCCTCCCACCAGGCCCTGGCAACCACTAATCTGTTTCTATGTATTTGCCTATTCTGAATATTCATATAAATGAAATTATATAATATGTAGCCTTTGTCTGGCTTCTTTCACATAGCATGATGTTTTCAGTGTTGCAGTATCAGTACTTTATTCCTTTTTGTGGCTGAATAATGCTCTGTGGTATGGATATGCCACATTTTGTTTATCCCTTCATCAGTTGATGGACATTTGGGTTGTTTCCACCCTTTGGCTATTGTGAATAGTGCTGCTATGAACATTCGTTATAAGCTTTTATTTGAACACCTGTATTCAATTCTTGGGTATGCCCTGGAGTAGAACTGTTTAACTTTTTGAGAACAGTTTTCCGTAGCAGCTATACCATTTAACATTATAACCCACAGTACATTGGGTTCCAGTTTCTCCACGTTCTCACCAACACTTGTTCTTTTGCTTCTCTTCTCTTCTCTTTTCCCTCCCTCTTCCTCTTTCTTTTTTTCTTTTTTTTCCTTTTCTTTCATATAGTCACCCTAGTGGGCATGAAGTAGTATCTCATTGTGGTTTGAATTGTATTTCCCTAATGACTCATGATGTTGAGGATCTTTTGATGTGTTTATTGACAAAAAAAAAAAGATGTAAAAAAATGTGTTTATTGGCCACATGTATATCTTCCATGGAGAAATCTCTTTGCCTATTTTTTAACTGCCTTTTGTTTGTTTATTTCTTTTTTCTCTTTGTGTGTGTGTGTGTGTTGTAAGAGTTCTTTGTATAGTCTGGATAGTAGACCATTATTAGACATATGATTTATAAATATTTTCTCCCATTCTGTGGTTTGCCTTTTTACCTTCTCCATAGTGTCCTTTGGTGCATAAACATTTTAATGGATCAGTTATTAATTAGGTTCTTTGTAAGAAATTTAGAACACCAGTTTGTGAGGGTAAACTCCATTTGTGAGAGAAAACACAGAGCAAAGGTAGCCTTGAAGCTGAGGAACAGCTTTGATTTTTGGCAGAATTTGTGAGTCCACAGCTTTCTTTCTTTTTTTTTTTTTTAAGATTTTATTTATTTATTTATTTGACAGAGAGAGACACAGTGAGAGAGGCAACACAAGCAGGGGGAGTGGGAGAGGGAGAAACAGGCTTCCCGCAGAGCAGGGATCCTGATGTGGGACTCGATCCCAGGACCCCAAGACCATGACCTGAGCTGAAGGCAGATGCTTAACAACTGAGCCACCCAGGCGCCCAGTCCACAGCTTTCTGA